ATTTTGAATGTGAGTGCACTTGATATTTGTTCGCCTCAACTTTAAAAACCTTATTGACGTGTTATTGCATCGAAAAACTGAAGATGCAGATTACCAGCTTTACGAATTGAAAACGTCAAATCGGTTAAAATTTCCTGATTTGTGGGGAACGAATGAAATGTTTCGTTTTTGTAAGAATTCGTTCACGCTTGTGTTTTTGTTAGAGGTGTTGTTGTTTTACAGTGTTCGACTGTTTTGTTCCTGTGTTTTCTTCTTTTATCAGCCATGTTGTTTGCGTGATACCGGCAGGTGGTTCAAAACTTATCAGATATTTACTTGGAACGCTTTACCTCTTGTCAATATCACCCAAACGAAAACAAAATCTAGCCAATGAGAACCAGCAATAATCAACATCTTACTGGAAATGATGACTGAAACCGTCATGCACATTATTCTCATGATTGTTCAAAGAAAACAGTTCTACCTCATAGTTTGTTTATCTGGACCAATTACAGCTCAGGTATATTTCATAGATCATTCTTTGGTGTTGTGTTCCTGTCATGGCAACGTCAAATGATTAAATAAAGAGCCCAATCAGAAATATGGAAATTATGCACTCTCATGTTGTTTTCATGTTGACATGTTTTAACCTTTTTATGTTTTCAAAATAACAATAAAAAATGGAAATATTGGCCCGGTGGTTTTCCCAGGGTTTCCGCTCTTTCTTGAGTTCTGTCACCGACCCTCCATTCCAACATTTTCGAGAACCTTTCAAAAGAAAATGAAACTAGGCTTGGGCAACAGACCGTATCTGTTGAATAAGTCGAATAACATATATTAAAGTTCACACGGCAACCAGGTGGACAATCAGACATAGTTTGAAGCTACACTGGTTTGCAGATTTAATGAATGTAACCGAAGAAGTTACAATTCATAGACCCAACGAATAACTGTAAACATTCTGAAGCTCCGACAATTCGGCATAATAATTGACGTAAGTGCAGTTTTCCTTCAAATCTTAAATCTGAGTGATACATGGTCATTATCCAAATTACAAAGCAGTGAGCTTGAACTGCTGCATCGGTTGAGTAAGTACCTGCGGATTGTAATTACGTATTCGACATTCGGTATAAAAAAAGTCCATCAAAGAGTCGCTTGAAGGAAAGTTTGACGTTTAGTTTTTTAACCCAAATATTAACAACAAATCGGAACGCTGAAATGCAAGCAAAATTTTCACTATCACAGAAAGAAATACCTCCATACAGCAATAAAATGTGTGTCCACCAACCTCAAGCAATCATGGACTTTTTTATGCTTGATATTTTAATTTTCCCGATGCGCTTTCAACATGAAATTTTCGCAATTTTGGTAAAATCGCATTACTGCAGTATCGCGTCAAAGATATCGCGAGCGTTATATTGAGCGAAAACTCATTGACTTGCGCTCACGTGCAGAGGATGGCTCAAAAACAAGGTGGAGAAAAAAAATGTGGAGATGTTTGTACTGTTGGCTTTATCTTCTGGCCTTATTTAGGTACACATATTGTAAATCTCAAAACCCCATTTCTACTTTACTGTATCAGTTTATATTACATGTGAGTTGGTGTGAAAAAAAGATTACTTTTGCAATCATAATATCTAAGTCTTTATACTTCCTAATGTGGCATGATAGAGATAAAGAAGAAGCAAAGAAAAATATCAATTCAGAACCCATTTAATGAACATGAAGCACTGAGTCCTATTTTGCTTTCAAACTTTCAGGACTATTTGACAAACGGTCACAGTACACCTCCCAAGGACAATCAGAATGACTGTATGCTTGACGAGGCCATGCAAAGTGGGGGTACTACTATAATCAAGTACCACAGGAAGGTAGATACTGGTGATTCACAAGATATCGTTATTGAGGTAAATTGTTTTCCATTGCAATTTTATATTGAGGGATTCATCGGTGGCCATCATGACCACCGACTAATTATATTATTGCAGGTGGCATCTGCGGCGTAGCAGCACAAAATCAGCAGAACTATGATGTTCTTACACATATCACTGCTGATATTTAGCTGCTGTAGGGCTGCCACGCGTGATAATTTCGGCTGAGTCATGAGCTTACAAGGGGTATGCAGAAAGGCCTTTTAGAGGCGGGCGAAGGAAGCTTTAGCTTAGCCGAGGCTGTTCTCCTTATGAGATCGCATTTTAAATTTAATTCAAGCATCCCTTTGGTTAAAATGGAAGTATGGCAAGGGTAGTTTGCTAGATATGGTGGTCTTGTGGGATTTACTTTGAACTTTGGATTGTCCACTCTCCTCAGTCACCTGCGTCCCTATCCCTTCTGGAGTTTAAAAGGGATTTTTTTGAGCCATCAGAGAAACGTAAACAAAATTCCTGCGGCCCATCTAGTGGGAGTTGAAGTATTCTTATTCTCTTAATGTTTTAACTCCCAAGATCTCATTAGTAATTCTCTCTACTGTCTACCTTATAGTTCTTGTGATGTTAGTATGGAGAATTTGGTAGTGGATCAACTAATAATCCCCTAATTGATATTTTTCTCTTTTCCCATCACTTGTCTGCTTGATAGTGCACTGATATTGTAAGGAGAGAGTCTTTCTTGGTCACTCATGGGAGGTAAAGGGTTAAGGCTACAAAATCTGAGATAAGTTGACGTTGTGACGCATCATGCCCTCGCCCAAAGAGGATCGTTCGCATGCCTCTAGTAGTTGTCATACACTGCAGTGCAATGACACTGGGGCAGAGTGATCCATCGTTAAGTTCAATTTCTGGGATTGCCGTCTCTGCCACAATAGCTGCAATTGTGGCTGAGCGGCAGTGAAAGAGTGCATTTTTAAGTGAAGTTTCTTTTCCACCAGATTAATTTGAATCACACCCTGCCCCATACGAAACTGGTACAGCCTAGAGGAATCCCTATTGATTACCACGAGTGCATTGCCTAATTTCGAATGTTCTTGTTAATCGGACCTTCTTTGTTGATTCAGCTTTACTCAAATTGGAATTAAAATAATTTCCCCTTGGGCAAAGCAACAAGAGCAAACCATAGTTTTCCTATTGAGTTTATTGCCGAATTATTATTGTTGTACTAGTGGTTATAATGACTTTTTCTCTTCTTTTCAGAAAGGTGAAATCGTTGTCGTGTGGGCGTACAAAAATTCTGTAACTTCCCTCTTAAGACATGATGAAAAGGGTTTTAAGACTTTGACCATGATAAACTCCGGTGAATCAGCCAAGCTCAAGAGTTTCTATTGGAAAATGACGGTTGCATCTCTGTCTGTCGTTGTTGCCTTGTTTTTCAAATGAAATGGAATCCAGCCACATTCCCAGCGTGTATTTTTTTGGGACAGCTTCTACCTCCCCTCCCCCCCTAAATGTTGGTCTGCAAAATGAGATAAACTCATTGGCAATAATGATTGATAACATTGGAAAGGGAAGAGGGGCAAAAGGACATTGCAGACGTCTCTCTGGAGAAGTGTCTCAACTATTTATATCTGGGAGTGGAGCTTTGCTCTGATAAAGCTTAATTAGCCGTAAGCCTTTGCAACTTATTATATACGTTTGCTGATTTACGCCAAGCAATATGTATGCTATTTGACAAATATTTGTTGTTTGTTACAGTTTGTAATCTTAAGGGAAAATTTCCATTGACTTGCCTAATAAATTTTGTTTACTATGGACTGTGAACTTAAATAAAAAGTGAATACAAGCACATTTCTTGAAGCGGAGGTAAGTTTAATCCTGATCAATGGAAGGGTTATAGCGAAGTAAAGCAATACTGAAACAATTACGGATTCATCTCGATGCTTAGCTCCATATTGAAAAGTGTTCTCGAAAATGAGCAGCCTTCCGGCATTCCAAGCTGAGTCCGTCGGGTGATTTCAAGTCCTACTAAACCCAAAGATTATTTTCTAATTAAATAAATAACCTTGTTTACGTGATGGCAAAGTCGGAAAATTATTGTCCCATCTAGTTTAGTTGGGTTTTTTTTTAATGAATTTTCAAAGATCCTCTAATTTGAGCACCTTCATGTTAACGACCGGGGGAACCACTCCCGGGGGAAAGGGACGGGTAGGCTCGTGACGTCATCCAGGGAATTGATTCGACATGATTCATTTAGCAGGTTAGTGAGAAAGCAGGCACTGCAACCTAGCAAACAATTGCAGAATAAGGCTCAAAAAGTCTGTTATTGGACTGCAACATTGATAAGAAAAATTAAATCTCTCAGTTACTACGTAAGCTATGATTGGTCAATTTAGCAGGCAGTATTTCACAGCACGACCCACTAAATTCAAAAGTTTGTTTGATTACAATATTTCCTCTCTGTTTGAACCCAGAGATACAATAGATATCTTACTTACTTCGTTTACTCTGTCCTAACTGTAAGTTATGGGATCTCGTTTTTTCACAATTTCCGCTTGGATTTATGACCTGCTCGCTTCGCTTCCCAACAATTGATAATAAGCTGGAAAGGACATTACTCATGAGTCGCGTCATGGCTTATAAGAGGCTATCGTGGGCTACCGCGCAGTTATTTAAAAAAAAAACATCTCTGGCCTCTTCCCGCTAATTTCAAGATCAAGATGCTTCAACGAGGTGCCTTCTAGGTCAAAACTGGGGCACAAAAGGGTTTGTAGCATTTTGTAAGGGGGCTGGAATTCGGCGACGAGCGACTAAGGGCTGTTGAAGCTTCGAATTGATAGATGCATAAGTGGGTTAAGATCTATCATTGACGTTTCAATTCCCCAACCACAAATGTGAATCAAGCGTAAAGGTGTTATTATTTTCTTTTGTCGATTCCTTTGACACAAAGCTTTCAGAGATTCATTTTGATGTTAATTATTACTCAAAGTTTGCTTTGAACTCTACCGCTCTCATTTTTTCGTTGTCATAATTTGTTTTCGCATTAGCCAACAATGCTCACGCCAGGGATTTTTCGGCTCTAATTTGGCCAAATCGACGGGCTCAAGTAATGCGTCAGCGGCTAACTTCAAACTGGCTTTTTTCAAACGAAACATGGCGGACACTAGTGGAGTGTTTTTGAACACTGTTCGTGGTGCGCTTGTAGTTGCAGAGGCTGAACTTTCGGGCAAAGATGGTCAAAGTAATAATATAAGCGAAGCCCTAGATGATATAAGAGGGTTGCTGGCACCAGTTTTGCTTCGACACTTTAATAACCGAACCGGATTTAAGCACATCTTGGGAGATTATTTTCCAATGTTTCAAAGGCAAGCCATAGATTGGCTTAAGACATTTCAGCGACGAATGTCTCCACGATGTTCCGTCAAACACGCCTGGCAGGTGGTCGTGGAGGAGAAGCTGCACAGAGAGCTTTTTCAAATTTTGGAAAATATTGTTTCGAGGACAAATTTCGGAGTTATAGCTGACCGAACACGAAAGAACTGTGTGTTTGCTTTCACCTCTCGTGACAGAGTGAGAAAAGTATTTTCTGATTGTACCGATCAAAACCTGAGTAAAAATACCTTTTTGAAAAGAAAAATCAAAGGCAACAAGCGCGTAGAGGCAATCATTAGTTATGAAAAACAGTTTGGAATAAAATATTCTTACAGAAAAGAATTAATCACCATTGATTTTCATTATGGCTACTGGAATGAGCATGACTGGCCGCAGCATGTGTGAAATGAACAGTAACTACGATCAATCCTTATAGTATAATACTTTTAATATCAACGATTGTAACGGTAACATTCAAAAAAACAATAATTTCTGATGGCAATACGTTCAGCACGCAACGTTTTGTATAGTAATGTAAATTGAGATTATAGTAAATATTTTCTTGTAATTTCTGTATATATCGATAATATAAATATCTATATATTTCTGTAAACTCTTCATATTGATATTAAATGCACTAGAGGATATTAATAGCAAAATTGAAATAGTAAATTATCTTTTGTAATCTCTGAATATATCTATAACAAATATATATATATATATATATATTTTAATATAAACGTTTCATATTGATATTCAATGCACTACTGGTAATTTGCTTCCATTTGAATCACTCATAAAATTATATATCCTCAATACCCTGGAAATCATTTTGATTATTGAGAATTGAGACAAAATTAATGTTCCTCTCAGTACTCCAAACATATGTGCTTAGTAGATGATACATATCCTTTATGATAATTGACACTAAGGCATTTGATAGAAAGCAACTTTCTTGAACAACTTGCTTTGATTTTGGTAATTGATCTGCAAACATTTGAAAAATTATCACACAGGTATTCATATAATTTGTTTTCCTTTTGACATTGTATGTTGGCATATATAAAGAGTATCTAATAAGTAGCCATATATTGAGTACATTATCATAACAATAAAATAGTTACATTTTTGTCTGTAGTTTGCAAATTCTAAGAAACTGTTACATAACAGGCCACCTTTAAGTTATTTAATTGCCTCTTTAGCTTCAAGTGTGGTTTTCCCTTGAAGAACACAGTCTGAAACTAATTTTTGAAAGTGCTGAGAACAAAAACTACACTTCTCTACATTACCATCTTTGGGGAGACCACAGTAACAAAAGTCATGGGTGAAACACCTCTTACGTATATACACATTTGAAGTGTGTTTGTACACAGTTTCATCACACCCATTTTCTCGTAACCAGAATAATGAAATGTACTCATGCTTAAAAACCTGACTCCATCTGTTGTTATACTGGGCATTGTTGGTGAATTTGGCAAGAGTAACATGCTTTGCCTCCCTTCCCTCCATTGTGTTTATTCCCAAGCCCAAACCTAATGTTTCCTGGAGTTGCTGGGCATGAACTGGCACTACATGGCCAATTGTCCAGGAAGTAGGGGTACTCTTTAAAAAGAGTGCAGTAGCTCTGAAATAGTTGGAACAAACTTGACTGAGACTTTGAACCTGCTCACTTGACATTGAGATCCTACTAAAAAGGGAGACTGAATCTCTTAGATTCAAACCTGTGTAGGCAAAAACATGTAACTTGAAAGTGTGAACATTCTGATCCTCATCAGTTTTCAGACTTTCGACGATATACATGAAATTGTGACAAAAAAGACGCGACTCTTTACCTGTAAAGCGATATTCCAAGGGTTTATTCTTTGTTCTGTCACCTGCAAACCACTTCCTGATCTTTTTTGCCAAGCGTGTTGCTTTCACATTGAATCTAATGGTATGATAATACTTACCAAAACAGCTGTTCGGAGAACATCTGAAATAGACTCACATTCACCAAGATGACTGCGTGACGAAGAATACATCAAGACAGATGAATTCCATTGTTGCCAAGCATTATTCTTCAAATGAAGGGGTTCTGCTTTGGCCCTATCAATAAATTTACCAACCAAAGGAAGAAACTCTTGCCTGGATTTTTTCTGTGAGATGAAAGATGTTATTTTCTCACGCTTTGTGGCTGGTTTCAGAGTTGTTTTACTTACCTCTTCTTTCTTCTCTTTCACAGCAGCTGCCACTCTAAGTCTTTGACTATATTTCCATGGATGCCATTTGTCTTGTGGTTTTGAACCAAAATTTTCTTGAGTGTTGGCAATGTCTTTTTTGCTAATGTCTGCAAATGGAGAAAAATAAGAGGCAGATATACTTAGTTCTCCTCCTAGAAAAGCCAAATATTTCATGTCATTTGGTAACAGTTCAAATTGAAAGGACACAAACTTCTCCTTACCATCAATTTCTACTAAAAACATTTTCCCCTCAATTTCAGTCATTTGCCTTTCAAGCAGAACCACATATCTGCGAACAGGCTCACAGTCTTCAAAGCAATTGGCCCCAATTAAGAGAAAGTTCTCTGCAGAGCTACACACACGCTGACCACAGTTTAGGAAACTAACTAACCAAGCCAATGCTTGGTCATCCTTTCCAAAGGGTGCACCATCACCCCCTATGGCAACTTTAAAAGTTCCCTCTTGCTTCCCAAACCAGTTAAGCTTATCCTTCCTGTAATTGTTGGCACTGAGATAAAACTGTGCCATTTTCAACAATAGCTTTAAAAGGTCCCTGTACTTCCCATCAACCATATCTTCTTCCTTGAGCCCTTTGCAAAGTGTTTCCCCTACATCATGTAAATCACCTATGTCTATTTCATTAATTTTTTTAAGTACCTCTTTATAAGAAAGAAGTTTTGGTACTGGAATGTTGCTCATGAATTCAATATGCTTCCTTTTAACCCCAGCATCATCTAAGCCCATTGTTAATGATGACCTTATTGAATTATACTTCTGCTTACTTGTAATGCCACCCCTGTACAAAATATTTACACTTCTAATAAAATTTGTTTGGCTTTTCTCAAAAATATTAATCTTCTGTTTCACAATTTTAGGAATGACTTTCTTTGTGAACTTAGCACATTTTATTATTGCATCACTCAATACTGACACTGGAGCACTTTCATTCAAAACTGCTATGAGACCTGCATAAGCTGGTGTCATATTCTCAGCAGTGGCTCCGTGCAACATTTTTGCAGCATTTAATGTCTGTAGCCTCCTTCGTCTAGCGCTACGGCCAGGGCCAGAGATCTTCCCTTCATCTCCCAAAATTGTTGGAGAGCGGGTCCTTCTGTCTACAATGTTGTCTGTAACAGAGATCTGAGGAAGACAAAAAATGTTGACCATGCAAATCTTCAGTTTTATTTCAATGCATAACTTCACAGCCAGAGTAAATCATAAATTACTCTATTGATAAACTGTTCGCATGGAATGAGAAAGCTTTCTCCAAGAATATAATATTCAAAATAGTACACATGAATTGAAGGTACTGACCTTTTCTTTCACATTTTTGTTATCCTCATTCACCAATTTTGCCTAAAACACAACAGTATTAGCCGAGTTTAACTGAAATCAAAGGAAAACGAGTCATTTCGTGGAAATTTCCAAAATATTTGCTCATTTCGACGTATTTAGAGGTAAAAGGCAATTTAACTGCCTTCTGATTTATATTTAATTTTTTCTTAACAACAATTGAAGATGTATGCGTGCAAGTTCAGGAGATTCAAGTATTTGATACTCGATGTTGTTTACCTTTGACTCGAGGCGCTTTAATTTCCTTGCCTTTTTCGTAAACTCTTTATCACGGGCAAGGGCAGACACAAGAAGAGCATCTTGGTTCCGTTTAATCTCTAGATATTCATTCAAAGGGAAGCGATTTTTCTGTCCTTTTCTTGGTGGCATGTCGCTGCACTCTGTTGCAACCTGTCTTAATCCACATTCTGTTGACAAAGGGAGAGTAGCTCGCTCAGTAAACCTCGAAATGCTCGAAAGTCTAGTCATGGTAGTCGTTAAAAAGTTCAGATATCAAGGAAACGAGACAAAAATAAAAAATTCTGAATCGGAGAAGACCTTACCAATGAACGCATGATTCCATAGTTTTGTCTCTAGCTTCTGGCCGTCTTGTCATTTTGAAGCTTAAATCTTTTTAAGATGCCTCAAAAATATGCTTTGCTTCACGACGCCATGACAGTCTCCTCTTTTCAACCAAGGGAAAACCAAATATATTTCTCCTATTTCGCCTTGTTTGGTATTGAATAAAAGCTCTTGCGAGGATCTAGATGTTGGTTCCAAATTTACCGCGCTTTCATTTAACCACAGTTCATAGAGAGCCTGCAAAGTTAATCATTTCCCGGCTTTGCGCCAGATCTCCGCACGGCCAACATGGCGGCGGGGAAAAAACTGGAAAATAATGTGGCCGAAAAATCCGCCAGAAATCCCCGGCGTGGCTTACAAGGGATAAAACCTACAACTTGACTAAGGGATTGTTGATACATGATTTGTGATAGCCTTGGGTTTTAAAATAGAAGAGACGGCACTCAGAAGAAAACCGTCAGCATGGTTTAAACGTGTGATTCCTGTGTGACCATTATTCAAAAATCTTATGGGCGCCCTTCTCCGAATAAGCGCCCTTCTCTCCTCTTTCACTTTCTTAAATAGCAGGGATGCAAGGAAAATCTATTTCTACTGCTACTTTATTTATAATATTTCAAGCTTCGACTACAGCGTAATCAGTACTAATTAATTGTGTCGTAATAGGCACCCCCTCGATTAAGCGCCCTCGTTCCAATAAATGCCCCTCCTTCTAGCTTAAATTTTAAACAAGCACCCGGGCGCTTACTAGCAGGAATATTGTAAATAAAATAATCGAGCTTTAACCTTCACCATGCTGTTCTTTGTAATAATTTGGACGCGTTCAAACCATGAATGAGAAGGATAGCTAGTTTAGGTCATGTAACCTAGATTACGGTAAACGGATTAGAAAACTGTGCATATGAACACTCCAGACCGATTACCTTACTAACTTATGAAAATTTATCTCATCTGCCCATTCTCAGAATTTTTACCGGGCCAAAAAATTAGCTCCGTGATGATGGCCGAAAACTCCCAGATAAACAAGTAGTAGAATATATAAATTGCTATGGTAACAAGGTCACTCTTGTCCTCATTAATTTATATAATGCAGGCGGTGAAAAGAATGATGACCGCTGACATGACTGACTAACTGTGATTTAAGGAAAAAAATAAATAATGAATAAAAAAGAGGCATTAAAATCTGGATTGATGATTAACCAAGATACGACAATAACGGTGATGAGTTAGAGAGATCTTTTTTTAATTTTTACAACTTATTTTCTTTTTACTTTGTGATAGGACTTTTGCTCAAATTCGGTAACTTCGTGAATGGAAACTAATATATAATCTATTTTTGGACAAAATGTTGAAAATGTTTGCAGATTAGTTTTGACGTTTTAAATTAATACATATTCTGTTTCTTTCAGTTTCGTGTACTTCAGTTTCGTCGATTTTGTTTGATGTTCCTCTAGAGAGAAGGTCATAGACTCAACACATTAGAAAACAAATACCATAAACTATCATAACTTTTATTGTTATTGTTATTATAATCATAGTACCACTTATATATGTTTGACCAGAATTATTTGCGATGGTAAGTGCCGCTGTTACTCTTTTTTCCGACCTCACAAGTTAACTTGGACGCGCGAGAGCCTGGGTCAGGCGTGCAATTCTTACTAACCCCACTCATGCCAAGTAAACTCTGCTTTCATTTTTGTCTCAGTCATGAGGAATACCGAAGAGGAAAAATTCCAAATATGACCAAAATAAAAGAATAATATTTTCGCCACAGATATTGGAAAACATTCTTGAAGGAAAGGGATTAGAGAGGTTATGCGAAATGCTGCGGAAATGCCTTTATACGCAACTTCCCCCCGGAAACTCAACCTTGAGCGTGGCGCCTAAGAAGGAAACTTGCGATTGCGGGCTCAAGGGGCCGCACCTCGATCGCCTCTTGTCTTGTTCGCTGGTGTGTTGGCGTAGCATTTTGACTGCGAAGGAATTTTGACTTTGTCTCCGTAATAACCGGTAAGTAGTTGCTATTTTCTGTTACTTTTGTACATTGGAGTATTCTATGTGTATTTTTGTTCGTTTGGGCGCACGAATTGTCGCCATGAATTAAAAAACCGGCCGTCCACGCGCAGAGTGTTACGATTTCGTAATATACATTTACATTTGTAGTTTTTTCTCGTCGTAATTTCTCTTCATTTCGGAATCGGTATTGAATATTTATTCTCTAGATCTGTTTCCCTTGCCTTGTTTAAGCAATGTGACTGTCAGTGGGCTGATTGTGTTCTATTTTCTGGCCTTAAAGTTTCACTTTTCTTATAACGTTCGTTTGCTAATTTCCGCATGTGCTTGTTTCTATACGATGGGTCAAATTCTTCGATCGGTCTTTTCCTGTACCAGCCCAAATACCTGTGCATCACGACGCTGTTTTCGTCTAAAGCAGTAATTGTTGATTTCTATCCATATAACTCGAGTCTATCGGTTCAAAAGAGATTGTGAATCGTAACATTTCGAACGAAAGATGGTTCTGGCCCGTCGAATTTCCTGGTGACCGAGCACTTGATGTTACTCGCAACTATAGTTTCGTATTGGCAGTGTTTCGGAAAATAAACGCAATTTTACTTGAAGTTTAAAAATACAAAGCGATTCCTGTGTTATACCCGTGATAATAGAAACCTTTTTGAGAAAGAACCTCTAATATAGTTGGTATTTTAATGGCGATCTCAAATAACGCTCCTTTAAATACAGAAATGTTGACGATGCGATTGTCAAGTTAATCCACGAACAGCGGGCGTGTTTTCACACGATTTTCATTTTTCCAGTTCTAGTTCGGATGAAGTACATAATAAACATCCTAAAGTACTTGTTTGGTAGCCATTGATTTCCGCGCACACGTTATTTCATTTGTAAGTATTTGTAGTCAAAGAGAAGAAGACAGCTATAATTTACAGATGCTTCACTGTCATTACGTACCGAAGAACCTCTACACTCTTGTGATTCTAAAAGTCTAGAGCCGTCGATTTTTTAAACCCCAGTTGCCTTGAAAAGCCAATTGTACCAAAGATAAATCATTTTAACGATATTTTTTATGCAGCTAACAGCTACACTGTGGTACAGGTATGCCTTGATATTCTGCAAAATCACAAATACCTTGACTTTTGCCTAAAGCGTGTTGATTTTTTTATCAAGAAAGTCGATTCGGTAATAAATAAATGAACTACCAAACTTGCAAGTAATGAAATATCTTCCTAAATCTATACACTCACTGTAATTGTGTGTCAGCTCTGCCCATAAGAAACAAAGCACCCTTCTCTGGCTCTTTAAAGGGACCTTTAGACAAAAGGAGGAAATTACATGAACATGCTTTGATCTTTGGTTCAATACAAGAGAAGTTTCTTATAACACCTTTGTATTGTTAAAGAGTTTTTGTTTTTTGAAGAAATCAGGGATTAGTAGAAACTGAATTGAAGGCAAACCTTCGTGATTGTCCTTAGTTGCTTTCTATATTGACAAATTTGATTAACCAAATAAAATACTGGTAATTTGCAGCAATTAATATTTATGAAATTATTATTTTTTTTTTTGATGTATGGAAACCAATCAATGTGGCAAAGTTTTGGTAAAGGTGGACTTGAACACTTGTTAGGTTGTTTACAGGGCTAAAAACCTCTTTGGTAACCTTTTTTTAGGAATCATGGGGCCTAAAAGAACTATTTAAATACAGTACTTCTCTGAAGTAATTGTAAAGCTTGTTATGTTCAAGCAGATAATGTTACCTGTCTTGATGTTAATACCTGCCAAAAAATAGGGTTACAGTCAAGAGTGACACTGGTTGAATGTTTTTAAACTGGTATGGTTAACATATGTATGTGTTTGTGTTTGTATTTGTGTTTTTAGAAAGGGTGTTAATGTTCTAATTTAATTGAAAGTAATGTCATGCAACCACTTGAAAGTGAAATTGGAGGACTGTTTGTGGAGAGGTATATAAGATATTTAAAAAGCTAAAAGTTCTACATTATTGAAAAAAAGCATCACGTAAGTTACATCAGTAAGTTAAAAATCATCTAAAAATTAAAAGAGTTAAAAAGCTTTTTTAAAAAGATATGTTTTTAAATGTCGTTTAAAAATGTCTATGGAACTACTGGATCTTAGTTCAAGTGGGATTGAGTTCCATAGTCTTGGTGCTGCCACAGCAAACGCTCTCTCTCTATATGTTTTCATTCCAGCTTTCGGGGTCACCAGGTGTTGAGAGGACGATCTTAATTTCCGTTCAGAGGTGTGGTACTTAAATAATTCACTGATGTAGGAAGGCACTGTTCCATTGAGAGCTTTGTAGACCAGTAGGAGAATTTTAAAAACTATACGGATTACAATCATCTCCAGAGTATTATTGTTATCCTTTTCAAACTTTGGTGGTATTCCTTTCAGTTGCAGATGTAAAGAATGTGACATCTGCTTGGCATTGCATTGAACAAGTCTCCTTCATCTTGAAACTAATTCACTACCTTTTCCTAATCATTCTTTGCTTTGTTCATTTATTCTTGAAAAGCTTTGGGTAAATTTCAACCTTTGGGATTACCCAAAACCATGTTTGTGGGCTATCATCAATAACTAGTTGGCTTCACAAGCATTCGTATTAACTGAGCCAGTCATTTTTTACCATTCATAATTCTACATTCCTGATTGAAGACATGATTTTCAGGAAAAGATAGCATTCTTGCGCTTATTTACTCTCTTTGCAAGATTTCCTTGCTAATTTGAGCAAGGTCATAGCCTGCTATCATCTCTTCTGCTAGATGTGTTAATCTTGGCTTTTGTCAGTGGTTAAGACAATTTTCTCTTCATTGGAAACCCCATGATGAATTTTGAAACAGTCACATTGATCTTCATTCCCTGGCCTGATTGAGTCCCCAAAACACAATAAACATTGTTAAAAGAAAGCTTTTAAAGCCACTTTTGGGTTGTATTTGTTTGTACAAACCTAGTTGGCTCACCAACTAGTTTCTGTGTGCTCAGTTAGCTAGACCATAAGATCTGAAGTTGTAAGGTTTGATTCCTTGCGAGGGCCAGAAACTTTTGCGAAGGTTCATGACAAATGAACAATATCTTTCTTTAATTTCCCCCCCTTATTGGAACAACTGCAAGGAAGGATTCAAAAATTGAAAGCATCTGGTGCTTTCCAATGTTCAGATTCAGCCAAAAGTTGTATTTCTGAACTGTGAACCTGCTAAAACTGCCGTGTGAACTGTACCTGTCAGAACATGCTAAAGAAATGTAAAATTTTCTTGACAGAAAATTGCTTAAAGTGTATGTCAATGTTGTAAGAGAGTGCTAGCTTCAACAAATAACAAATGAAGAATCATGTTTGGTTTAAGTGACTTCCACTAAAGTCATGTTGATAAAGGAAGTTTATTCAGTCATGTCAACCAAATGGCTTTTTTTTTTTTTGGACAGGGTTTTCTCAAAATGTCTTGGGATAGTTATATTGACAACCTAGTTGCACAGACTAAAGATGCCTCTGGCACTGCTCATGCAGATAAAGCCTGCATCATTGGCATAGATGGGGGAGCAGCATGGACCACAAGTGGCCATGCCTGTGCCTTACAGGTAATACTATGGTAGCTTCTTTGTACATGTTTGTCAAAAAAAGCATTAAAAAATGCATCAAGATTTCAGCTTTCAGCTTTCAGTGGGTATCTCACCACTTGAGAAGAAGTAGACAGTCTAAGAGTAGAAACTGACCTTGATTCAGTGAGATATTAAGAGCAGTGGGCACTTGTTAATTGGAACCCAAACTAAAATTCTCCGCTGTTTACCTTCATTTTACCCCTGGCACATGTAATTCAAATGTGGATGAGTTCAAACCTACTGTTAATTGGAATCAGTCTGTGTTCCCCTCCAGTGCCTGTAGTAATTAACAGTTGGAGTTTCTAGGTAAATGCTGTCCTTCAAAATGATACAGTGAGATGATAGTAAAACGCCAGTTAAATTCAAAGTGCATTTGCTGTTTTCATGGTACAATTTATGATATATTGTTTTTACCCAGTGTGTTTGTTGCAAAAAAGGAATGAAAATTCCAAGTTGAGAAATTATTCAGTTTGCAGGTTTTTGTTTATTTGTTTTTTTCTTTTTTTAAATAAAGATCATGAGGTAATGGAGTGTGGGGATAATTGTTTGTTCAGTTTCAAATCTGTCTGCAGCTCAAACTATTATTATTATTATTGTATTATTAACATGTTCAGTCAATATTATTAAACTCTTTATAGAAATTGTATTACCCTGTAGAAACAATTCTTATCATAATACATTTATTCATTCAATTTTATTCTATTTTAACCCTTCAACTCCTAAGATCTTATTAGCAATTCTCCCTACTGTCTGTCATGCAGTTCTTGTGATGTTAGTTTGGAGAATTAGGTATAGGATCAACTAATAATCCCCTTATTGATATTTGTCTTTATTCTTGTTACTTGTCTGCTTGGTACTGCATTGATATTGTAAGGAGAAATTGTATCTTAGTCACTTGTGAGAGTTAAATGGTTAACTCCCATGATCTGACTGTAATTCTTTCTTCTAGCTGCTAATCATTTCCTTGTAAATTAGCTGGGAGAATTTGGTGTTAGATCAAGATGACAACTTTTCCCAAATGAGTTTGAGTATTCTCATTACTTTCTTGCCGGAAAGTGTATGGATATTATAAGGAGAAGTAATATGTTAATCACTTCTTAGAGTTAAAGGGTTAATTCATCTTCTGTTTTTGTGATTGTTTCTCTCCAATATCTAGTGTAATTTGTACAATAAACTAGAGTGTATGTACACATGTGTGTTAGTAAATCACTGTGTAGTAGAGAAGAATCATTTTAGGTGCAAGTGGACCCTCTTAAAGGAAATCAATCACCATTTTTCCTTGTTGAATAATTTTTTGTTTGTTTTTTTTTCCTCCAGTTACAAGGCAGTGAGGGTGCAAACATAGCAAGATGTTTCAAGGGCAAGGATTTTTCAGCATTTATGTCAGGTGGTATTCATGTGGAGGGCACAAAGTACCAATTCTTGCGTGAAGAAGATGGGAAGTTAGTTCTGGCAAAGAAGAAAGAGCACGGAGCCATCACTTTGCAGGCTTCCAAGACAGCAATTGTCATAGCTCATTGTCCAGAGGGAGGTCAGCAAGGCAATACCAACAAAGGTGTCTCAGTAATTGCAGAATACCTCGAAAGCTTGGGCATGTAACGCAAGGTTAAATACTGTTAGCACTTTGTAGTTTGTGGTAGAAATCTGGTCTTCGTTTCTTAACCACATTACCCAATTTATTTTTTTTGTTATGTTTTCATTGAGGCCTTGCTGTAGACAAATTGGAGTTTATGAAATCAACTGGTTGCCAATGAAATGTTATGTAGTGTTCTGATGATGATGATGATTGCAATTTAAAGGCCCCCCTTTCAACAGGTTACGAGTTGACAAAATATTACATCGTAATTATTGTTTTGAATAAAGTAGCAAATAAATTAGCATGATTAATTAATGTAGTTGGTTTCAGAAGTGCACCTATTGTAATTTGCAAAAGGGTGCACTACCTAAGTATTTTGTCTCAGGAACTTGCTGTTCAATTCTAATAAATCAAATTCTTTGAGCTTTTCATCGTGTGAAGCACTGGTATCACCACAATTTAACCCTTCACTCCCAAGATCTGATTAGCATTTCTTCCTACTTTCTGTCATAGAATCTTTTGATATTACTTGGTAGAATTCAGTATTGGATCAGCTTAACCCTTAAACTCCCAAGATCTGATTGTTAATTCTCTCCTCTAGCTGCTACACATTTCCTTGTAAATTGGTTACGAGAATTTGGTGTTTGGTCAAGGTGATATCTTGTACCTGATAAGTTTAAGTGTTCTCACCACCTGTTTGCTGACTAATGTATGGATAATATAGAGGAGAAGTTACATGTTAATCACTTCTGGCAGTTAAAGGATGAAAGTCCCCCAAGTTATATTCTGCTTTATTCCCATCACTTTTCTTCTTGATATTGTACTAATATTGTGAGGAGAAGTTCTCTCTTTGTTACTCATGAGAGTTTAAGGGTTTAATGCTTGCTAAAATAATAATTGAATGAATGTTTCAACAAACCCATTTAAATTTTCCCTCCCCACCACCACACGCTTGGTTATGTTAGTGGAAAATTTATGTTGGATCTGATACCCCTGGTAGGCCTTAACGAAGCTGTGTACAATACTCTGTTTTCTGACTTTTCAACTGGAACAACGAACCGCCTTTAAAAGGACGATGGGAGTTCATTTATGGAACAAAACAGAAATGGAATATTAAAAAGATGTGAGCTGGGTACACCGTATTTCCTTGAATAAGCGCTCTTACTCAAGGCACAATGTTATGCAATTGCACCCCTCGAGTCAGCGTTGCCCATCCCTCACTGTACATTGGGGATAAAAGGAAAACATGTTTTTAATGCCACTTCATTTATGACTTTTAAGCTTCAACCAAAGCGGAATCGGCATTAGAGAGGGGTTTCTTTTCTGTTTAAGTCACTTCCAGTTATTTCTATCTCTGCTTACCGTGTTCTTTATGTGCTTTTTCTGTGATTGTAATTTTTGTCCTGTTGCTACGCTCACCCAGTAAGGGAACCCCTTCCAATAAACCCCCCCTCCATTAAGCCGGACGTGCGCCTATTCGAGAAAATATGATAATCAGCAGAAGCCCCTACTTTCCCGTCTGTGCCTCTACTTGAAGAGACTTCAGTACAAGTGCCGTGCTTTTGAAGCAGGCGTGTGATCGATCGTCGGCTGTACTGTGTCGCCGAAGAGGGCTGAATCGGTTGTAAGGCGTCAGACTTCCAACTTTACACGTAAATTTATTACAAACTCGGCGCTCGAATTACACCTAACGGAATAGATAACCTCTAATGAAACCTCTCTGACAGGTAGAGGCGAATTTGTTTTCGTGATGGTTTCATCAACTGAGTTGATGATGGAAATAATAATTGGCCACAGTAAAGAGTTTCAAAGCTGACGTTTCGAGCGTTAGCCCTTTGTGATTGCAGCGGAAGAGGTGAAAAATTCACAAAATACATCAAATTAATGCTTCCATCTCAAATGTAAGCAGTCGACTATGAATAACATTCAGTTCGTTGGATTCGTCCATATCCAGATTTGAACTAAAGGTAATGCTTTACTAAGGGCTAACAATCCAAAAAATTTAATCAAAAGATCGATTAACATCATTACCGGAGAGGTCGTATAATCAAAGGCAATTACATAAGCGTGCTCCTTATTCATAGTGCGCATATTGGTGACGAGTGTTTACACAGTGAAGTGTGCCAGGGGTGAGGGGTGGAAGGGATTCCTGTTTATCGGTACGATATGGCTCAGCGTCAGCTGTGCGGAAGGTAGAGTTGCTTTCGTTTATACCGAGGCACGGATCGCGTTATCAGTGCCTACTCTCGTTTCTCGTACAAATAAAAAAGATGAATTAAGTTTTTTTTCATGGATGCAGAATCAATTATGTCCCATACGGCTGCTACTGATCCGGCATCTCCGCTAGGAACGTTTCCAAGTCCCTAACCACACTGTCGAATGATGGCCTTGCTTCGGGATCCTGATTCCAGCACCTTTCCATGAGTTGCCAGCATTGTTCTGGAAACACGTCCAACCTCTCTGGTGTCTTGTTGTCAACGGCATTCATCATGAGCATAACCAGAGGTAGAAAGTGGCGGTTTATATTCTGTGGTTGGTTGCCCTGACCTTCGCACACTCGCCAGAGCAACATGCCGAACGCGTACACATCAATGGATTTGTCGTACTGTTGTTTTATCATTTCGGGCGCCATGTTGATAGGAGTACCAACCAACGAGTTACAGATGAGACCCTCGGGTTTACAGAGACCCAGATCAGTTAACTTTGCGTTGTTTTTCTCGTCCAACTAAAAGGAGAAAAAAGGAAAAATTTGAATTTGCTTGTCCAAAAATCTAATGTACTAGCTATATGCTGTATAAATTCAGAATTATTATTAATTATTAATATTATCATTACTATTATTATTATTATTATTATTATTATTATTTCTAAGTCCCCTTTTGGTTCAATAATCAGCTCCTCTTATGGAACTCTTCATGAGCACAGCCTTACATAGCTAACACCCACCACAGCCCCATTTATTTCACAATCAACGATAACAGGTAGCGTGACGGTACTCACCAAGACGTTCTGCATTTTAACATCGCGATGGATCAGCTCCTCTCCGTGAAGATACTGCAAGGCTTTGGCAACGTCAAGAGCTATCTCAAGCCTCTTTCTCAAGGAGGGTATACCCGCTAAACCATCATGAAGATCGCATCTCATTCGCTCCGAGACAAGTTGCACAGAAAGGCCACGAGTTGGGTTGGACTCCACTACGGTGCATATAACGGGTAGAATGTTCGGATGGTGGAGGGCTCTTAAACGGAGAAGTTCATTTCAGTAAATAGTTGAAATAAGAAAAGACCAGGGCTTGTATAGCTTTCAAGAATTTCCTTAATCCTCCGAGTGTTCGGATAAACCCCTGTGAACATGGAAAAAAAGAATCCTATATTTGCCCCTAAGAAATGATTTCCCAAAATACGGGCGAATCTGTATCGATAACTCCAAACGAATCCATCGACCAATAATACCGCGCGTTGTTTCGCATCTATGTCAAAACGTTACTTTACCTTACCATTTTTATATTGCACATTACCTGGTATTATGAAGTTCCAGGGTCAAGTCCTTGAGCACCTCCTCTGAAGCGACACCCACCACCTTAACAACACAGGGCCTTCCTTCTGGAGTTTTAATGTTGTCACAGGCGAAGACATTGCCCTGTGCCCCAGACCCAATGAGCTCTCCCTTGGCTGGAAGTCCAAACTTGAACCTGTCCATGACACCATATGCCAGCATCTCAAGAAGTGCAAGATTGGGAGCAAAGCCAAGAAGATTTTCCCTTTGTATATCCTTGATGGTCTCTCCGCGATCGAACAGGTCTTTCACTTTTCTTATTTCACCGGTGAACTCTTCATGGCAGTCACAAAAAAGCTGTTTCAAGCTTTTGACGATTTTCTGAGCCATGTCAGATGGATTTACTTTCGCAAGGGCATTTGAAGCAACATCTGTCTTCCATTTCTTCGAACCAACTTGAACCTCTCCACTGATGGTCTTGATAACTGTTTTGATCGGATTACGAATTGCCTCGTAGAACCACCCGCTTAATTTTATTATGAAACGTAAAGCTGCTCCGTTGCGTTGTGAAAACGTGATTTGAGCTTCGTAAGAAGAAAGAAGGCTTTTGCCAAGAGCGAGTGCTGCCGATGGAATGTCGTTGTCTTTGGCAATTTCTCCTTGAATTTGCTCCATGCCGTCTTTGAGGTGAACAAGGAACAGATCTCTGGAGCGGAACATCATCGTTAACTTTTGCTTGATCTCTCCTTGGAGTTTTTTTACTACCATCTCCTGAATCTGGTCCTGACAGTGATCCACAGCTTGTTTCTCTTTTACATGGCCATTTGACGGAATGGTAAATTCGGTCAAAACGTACTCAAAATCTCCTGCCTCCTTTAGGATGTCTTCTATGGCTCCATTTATGGCATCACTGAGAAGTTCTTGTATATCCATGGCCCGCTTTTCGTCCTCAAGGTCGCGGATTATGTTCTCGTGAACTTGCTGTTCCTCGCGCAAAAGTGTTTCCAACGTCTTCAATATTTGCTTCTTTCCCCTTTTCAAAACATTGGCTTTCTGAATGAAGAAATCCAAGCATCTGGATAGAACACGCACGAGGGTTTTGCACACACACTCTACCCTTGCACGTAGAGATTCTTCAGCGAACTCTTTCAGGCTGTTTTGAAATCTCTCAAAGGCTTGAGTGTAATCTGTAAACTCTTCGGAAGAAGCTTCGGGATTTCTCTTCTTCAAAGCGTGGTACTGCTGGATGCGCCAAGCTGACAGCCCATGGAATCGCTCGTTTTGATTCATGGGCAGTTGAGAAGGAAAATGGCCGTTTTTGACAAGCCGCTCGTACACCCGTGTCTTCTTTCTGTTCTGTACTTCGAGCTCTCGCTTTTTCCGCGCCTTCACTGGTGCTGCATGACCTCTTGGTTCATCGTCCTCATCTGATGATTCGGTACGATCTTCCGGTTCCAGTTTGCTAACAACGAAAAATATTGATAAATCGGTCCCTGAGGATGTCATTTCATTCAGGACCTCTCTATCCTGGAAAGGAAACAAATAACAATTGGTAATAATTGATGATAAGACTGTGTAAAGAAAAATCATTATTAACTATAAGATCTCTTTCACGCATAGAAATAGAGAGCGAATAATCTGATCGTTTTATTATAAATCTGCTAATTATTCAAAACTTTATAACAAAACAAGGTCAAATAGTTATTTTATTTTGTTTACAACCCCACAATATTACTAGTAAGACACTCACTTTACTCACGATATAAGGGGAATAGCGTAGCCAATCAGATTGCAGCAATTGGATTTGGCAACCCGAGGCAATCACTGTCGTCCATGCCCGCAGGGTGGAGAATTAGAACCCTTCTTGGGTGGGGTGGAGAATTTGAATCAGCGGAATATACGCGTTCTATAAAATAATTCATATAGTACGCGCGCTCTGATTGGCCATAAAACCATTTTACATGAGCGTATGTAAACACGGTTTTCGTTCCTCTTTCATTAGTTATTTTATAAAAGAAATGTAAAATAGTTTCTGTGTTTACATAGCCTGATGTAAACACTTGGGAGGTTGGGATACACTCGATAAGCTCGATACGCTTATCTCGTGTTCTCCCAACCTCCCGCGTGTTTACATCAGGCTGTGTAAACACGGAAACCATTTTACATTTCTTCATTAATTTTCAATATGGAGGGGTTTAAAAGTAAAGTGTTCACCTTTGCGAACAAATGGCCTGGAAGTAAGATTTCACATTGTAGAATAATGCTTACGAGCGAAAAACTTAACAGTGGAGAATCTTTGGGAGGGAAAGGGTTATGTACATCTGTTGGCAAAGAAATGAATTGATTTTAGAAGCTTTTTATCTTGAATACAATAATCATTTCGTAATAAATGCAACAGCAGGCAAGCCAGAGTAAAAGCTATGCCGATGTTGTGGTAATTACGTCGTTGTCGTTTCACGACGTTCTCGTGTTAATTTAAATCACGACTGTTTAATTTCGATGAGAGCAAACTTTTGCTTTTATCAGCTTCGTATTTAAAAACTACTCTGATCGAATTACTGATTCATGACTCAATATTTCAAAGACACAGTCCAAGTGAATCACAAAACATGGCACTTGTATAGTTTCGATCTTGATACAACCCGGAAATACAAATTGTAACCAATCGAGGAATCGATCGTCTTGAAAACAAAAAACCTTACCTGCTTTGTGAAAAGATCATGTCCATCCACCACGTATATAACAAACGCCAGAGGATTTTCCAGCTGCTCTTTTACCAAGTTGTCCAGCGCTTTATTTTCATTTCTTCCAGGGGAGTCAATGATGGTTACACCACATTTCAAGAACTCGATATTTAAACCGGTCTCCACGATCGCTCCCACTTTACTAGGGTCACCACGATCCTTCGGTTTGAGCTCGATCTTCTTTCGAGGGATTCTGTTTCCATCCTTGCCTATCATCTTTATCTCTTCTAAGGTTTTACCATGTGTGTTAACCAGGCGACAGTAAGGCTCCTCGGCGTGGCAAACGCGAACAATTCTTGCGGTGCTCGGTTGGTCTGATGTAGGAAGCGCTTTACAACCTAGGAGCTCGTTGATTATGGAGCTTTTCCCGCAGTTGGTTTGCCCTACAAAAATGAGTGCCGGCTCCTGATCAAACAAATCGGTAACTTCCTTCTTCTCCTTAGCTGTGTAAAGCAGCTCAGCAAGGGCGTTATCGAACTCTAGATGAACATCCGCCATTGCCACTGTTTGAGCCATTACTCGAACTTCGTCTGGAAAAGCTTGCACGGGTGAGGTTGAGTAGCGAAGTTCTTCTACAATTTCTGCAGTACCTTTATCGGAAAGCTTTCGAACGATTTCATCGAAGTATTTAACCGTGTCATGGTGAACTTTTTTCAGCACAGCCTTGCTTTTCTTGAAATCCTCGAACACGTCTTGAAGCGCCATGGCTGGAAGACTCCACGAGATTGAACTGCATTGTATCAGATGTCTAAGTTTATTGTTTGTTCAATTCCTTTCGTGGAAAAAGAGGAAGTCAATAGTCATCGATCACCTTGGATGAAATTTTAAAAATCTGGTACGGACTCGTGTATGATAGAATACTGGAGCACGCAGTCCGCAGTGTCTTGCTATACCAATCCTCATCGTTACATCATGTTATAACTAATGTGATATGATTTAAAAAACTCTTAATTTTCCTTAAGAAGATTTCCTTATTAAGTTCGAATGCTACTCGTTCGATCTTACTAAGGGTCTCCAGGTTGATAAACAGCGCAAACGATTCAAAACGAAAATGACAGACCTGTCAAAATAATCTGAGGAATTCTTGGCTATACAAAATTTATAGTCAACGGTCTATTACAGTTACAGTTAGCTTGAAGGCTCTTGCTCTTTTCATCTTGTCTTGGGCAGCTGCGAGGGCAGACGGTATTGGTTGAATTAAAAGAAAAGTGAGATAAATTCTGCTAATGAATCCCTGCTCTGACTGGTAAAATCGATGTAAAAGAAAAACAAAAAACGAAAACAGAAACAAAACAAACCAAGTTGCTGATGATAGCAAAGTTGTGTACATGTCTGAATTGATCAAAGAAAAATTTATAATGAAGCGGAAGCTCAATGAAAAAAGAAATCCGTACCAGAAAATTCCGAGTCCACTCCAATCTTCGATTGCATGTTTAGATGTCACGCGACATGTCATCATAGTCCAGTTTTTCCGAGAATCTGAATGAACCAGGAATCAAAGTGAATTCTTGAAATAAGCGTGGTTTGTTGTGCTCGTCTGTACAGGATCAAGTCCCTTTGCAAATCTTAGTGCTGAATGAGATCCAACCTGACCGTCATTGTGAACAAATGGCTTCCTGCGAGGGTGAGAAAATTGAAAAAAATGTTGATTGAAGTAGTTCATGTTTACAGCATTACGAAAGTCTGCAGTCTGGCCTTTCTATTGACATGCACAAGGAAATACTTGCAACTGGTTGCGGAACGAGAGCCCAAACTAAGTAATACTTACGCTTTGTAGGGAGTTAAACGAAGCCTAGCTTCATTAAGATGGAGAGTACGACCGACATTTTAGTAAGAAAGGGAAATAGAACCTTCGATACGAACTATAAACTGTCACTGATCATGCAGACGAAAACCAAAAGTCAACAGTCTCTCCTCATTTCGTTTATGTGTTATTAAAAGTTATGTTTCCATTACGAGAATCGTTCCGTTAATTAAGGCATTACATTCTTTGGAATAGTTGTCGATCGGCTCTAATTATCGTCACAACGCGATTTCCCATAGAAATTTATGTTTCTTACTCGCTGCAAGCTCACAGTAACACTAGTTTCAGTTTGTAGGAACATTCTAAAATCTGTTACTAGAGATTCCTGAACATCTCATTTTCTTTTCATTTCAAGCTCAGTGTGAAGTCTGTATTAAATATAAAACTGTTTGAATCAATGACACCCAATTTTGATCCACAAAACCAGACAGCAAACAATGTTTGGGACAAAAACAGCCTTGCCATTTAATTAATATTTTCACAAATACGAAACTCTTGCATGATGATATCCATAAGATAATGATAAAATAACACTCAGATATGCTATTTAACAAAAAGGCTGGCTGATAGAAACACTGGACAGATACAAAGACCAGCAAAAATGAAATACTGGAAAGGGATGGAAGGGTCAAAAAGAAATATCTTCTTGGAATACATATGAGGTTTTCTATATATTTGCTAACTAGCTAAGAAATCAAGCAACTGATATAAATTGCTAAGTAATCTTTTAAATACCTATCATGATATCAGTGTACTTTTACTTGCAATATAGGGAAACTAACTGACAGGAAAAGTCTGCTTCGATGTTAAATTACTTGTACTCAATGATGATGCAAGACTGCATATTTCTGTACCAATTTATGATGTTTGTAATTATTTAGAAGCCCATAACCCAATAATGGGTGATGTTTCCCATATGCAAGATTGTTTTGTTAAAGGATATTGGTCTTAAATTTGCCATTCTTTTATTTGCATTTGCTTTTGCTGTTTTGTGAAGATTCAGAAATTAATTGTGAAAAATTGCATAGGTTGTAGAAAACTATCAGTTCAACTCTTGGTACATAAATGATTTTTAGAAAATTTACTCACAGCTCTTCATGGGAGGGGGTAGGGGCAACTTAACCCCTTTTTTGTGCTGAGCTTGCTCACAGTGGCATTCTCAAAACCCTTAATACCCCCAGATTCTCTTCAATTTATGATACAACCATTAACCTCTTTAACTGTCTGTCTCAGAATGTATTAATTTTGTAAGGGGGAAGTACACTCTGGTAGCACTTAGGAGTGAGAAAATTTTAATTTTCTTGTCATTTACATTTTTCACTGGAGTTTAGTGAAGTGGCTGGCTTGTTCTTGTCTTTTTGTATGAATATCAACTTTATAATAACTAACCCTTTCACTCCCAATGCTCCATACTTTCTGGCACATAACTATTATGATGCTAAATGAATAAAGGGGTAAGTTTCTAAAGAAACTGTGGTGCTGCATTGGTGGGAGAGTGTAGCAGGTAATTTAATGTTAACAACTGAGTTGAAAATGTAAATTGGCTACTGTAAAGAGTGAAAAAGCTGACCTTTTGAGCATTAGCCCTTCATCAGAGTAATTGATGCTAGTTTGGAGAATTTGATATTGGATCAGCTAATAATCATCTAATTGATATTTTAATCTATATTCTTGTCACTTCTCTGCTTGGTATCATACACGTAAGGAGAAATTCTCTCTTGGTCACTCGTTGAAGTTATAGGATTAACACAAAATACTGTTGGTAGCATTTCAATCAGTAGCTCTTACAATTCAATCTGTCAAGTTTAAAACTAAATTTTGGGTACCAAGAAAATGAAAGCTTATAATTTACACTTTTCCTTTAGTTGGCCAAGATAATTGATTGAAAGTAACATCTTCTCCATTGTAAATCCAGGTATTTCTGGCAATGATGGCACAGAAACAGCATCATTTGAAGAACAGTTTAAAGACTTGACCTCTCTCATCTCCTTCTTTGAGGAGTGCTCAAAGCAAACATGTGAGTTTATTGACAATATGAAAGAGAAGTTCTCTGACAGCTTGAAAACAGATCTTATGACTGACAAAGAAAGGCAGTGTCTGCAATCATATGCTTCCAAGAAATCTACTCTTCTTGTTGTTGGCCAAACAAATAGTGGAAAGAGCTCCTTTGTGAACGAACTCCTTGGTGGGTCATTCATGCCAACTTCTGAAGTACCATGCACATCTCGCATTGTCCGTCTTAAATACAGTGAGAAAAACTATATCCAGGTTTGTGATGCACCTTTCTGTTTGAAACTTTTTAAGAAAGAGAGGCTGATAATTTGATCAAATACCAGCAGTTTCTCTTTTCTTTTTTTTTGGGGGGGGGGAGGGGGAGGGATTGAAGCCCCTTTCTGCCTTCCCCTTTGCTTCTCAGGAGTGGCTTAATTTCATAGCTCAGTTGGTAGTAGTGCATCCACCTATATCTTAGAGAAACAGGTTCAAATCCTTTCGAAAGCCCAAATTTAAAGGTGGGGGGTGCTTACCGTAATTTCCGGTCGATTACCCGCACGGCCGATTACCCGCACGGCCGATTACCCGCACCGGCCGATTATTGCATACGGCGAAAAAAAAAGTCAACGGATTACCCGCACCGGTGGATAACCCGCACGTTGTTATTCAACTTTTTCGGTGGCGAAAACGTGACATTAAGGCGATACATTTCAGTCTTTCGATTCAGACATGTGCACAATTCTGTGTCAATATTAGCTTATACTTTATTGATTGATTATTGCTGCTGCTCTATTACCGATTTCATCGGCAAGAGTTATTACTCTAAGCTTATAATCAAACGTAAAACTGTGACGTGGGCGTTTCACAGCAGGCATTTTAACTTAATTGGTGACTCGTGGATACACTTATCGCGAATGATCGAGGTTTATAATTCTTATTCAGTCAGTTACCTTTTTATAGCATGTAGGAGCGTAATGAGCAATATCCATTGTTCATTTGTCGTTAAAATACTTTTTCAGCGCGAAATTAGTTAAGTTTCGCACCTATTATTTTCAACATTCTGGTGATGCATTTGGGATTTAAAATTACTGTCGGCAATTTCTCAAAAAAATCGATATCTCCTGTTCTACTGGGCCTAACAAGTCCCTTAAAACGGGAAAATTCTCTTTAGCTCAAGCTAGTGAAAACTGGGAATTTGTTACTGATGCGCCGGATATCCTTGGATTATTTTTGTCACCATCAAGGTTTTGTTTTCACGCGTGCCGATAAAAATTTGTTTGTCACGCAACTAATTATGCGTGAAATAAACTCGAGTTGGCATCATGTTTTCGTGCCGCTTTGTGGCACTTTTGATAAAAAATTCATTTGAGAGGTGGAAACGCAGGTAGGTGAGAAATTTTTTCAATTCAACTTCCAGAAGAATTTAAAATTGTCACATAACCCGCACCTCCCTATTAGCCGCAGTGGCGCGGATTTAATGCAAAATCAACAGATTACCCGCGGGTAATCGACCGGAAATTACGGTACCCCCCCCCCAATTTTTGCTAAGGGAAGGGGATGCATAGCCCCTCTACTCTGCCACCTGTCCCTCCTCAGATGATATTTGTAGGTTTTCCAGTTTCCTTCTTCCACAAAAACCAACATTCTGGTGAGAGTTCTATGCACCCGAAACCAAATTATTTTTCATCATAACCATTAGAAGAGTGAATCAGTAGTTGTAAAATTGTCTTTAAATGTGCTAAAGATTCAGTTGAAGATGTGTGCACTTTGAAAACAAAGTGGTCATAACATAAACCAAACATGTAAAACCAAAAAGCTGGATTTACAAACAGCTGTTGTTATGGTTATCACCAAACCTCATTCTATTACACAGTCCCAGAATTTGATTTTGGGGGCAGTTTTTGAATTATTCAAACAGATGGTCAAAAGATGGGAAAAAGAGGAAAGAAATTTTGTTACAAAACTAATCAGTGGCCAAACTCAAAATGGTTAAAGCAGGAGACAAATTTAAAGCACATTTGAGGACATTTTCAAAGACTTTAAATTGGGTCATTGTTTAGAATCCAAAAATGTATTTTTTGTCATGAATCGATCTAAACATCATAATCTAAGGTATAAATATTTTATTTTTCTTGAACATTCTTCTTTGGTGCCAGTTTTGTCATGAAAATAGTGGGAAAAGATCCAACTTGTGCCATGAGCTCCTTCTTGTAATGACTAAATTGGACAAGCACATTGCAATAAACATTTTTATCACCTCTCCCCTTTTTTTTTTTTTTCAAAATAATAGTACTGAAAATTTTACCATTCATATTAAGGTATTGGATAAATCCAAAACTAATGAAGGAGAGAAGATTTTCTTCGTTAAAAAGAAGGTACCGAAAGAGGAAATAGAGTTGGATGACAGCCAGAGAGGAGATCAATCCTGGGTCAATGCCATGGTGGAAGTGGGCCTAAACAATTCTCTCCTCCAAAATGGACACCTGGAAGTTATTGATGCACCTGGGATGAGTGAAAATGAAGCTCTGGACAAGATTGTTGAGGAATGTATCCACGGCATTCTTCAAGTCATTATCTACGTCATAGATGGGAACTCCTCTCTAAGGTTGCAGGTCAGTTATAGTCTTACGTTCATGTGGGTTTTGAAGGTGGAATTATTAGTCCTATTTCACAGTCTTGGCTACATTTCAATCCCATTCTCATGTCGTTGCTTGTGATTTCCATTACTAGTGACCCAAATCCCATTTTCCTGGTGAAGGATGGTGTAACGAACGCACCGATAAATTCTCTAAACTATTATTGCACAACCAGTGGTATCTAAAATACGTATAGAAATGATTTAACAATAATTTACAATGATGGAAAACAAGGTAAATGAAAATTAAACGAAGGAAGGGCAGTAAGAAATGACACTCAAGAAAAAATTCTGAGTACTAATTAATTGGCGAGAAAACGATTTAAATATGGTGATATCGCGCAGAGGTTGGGGACCAGCAAAGCGCTGAACGACGTTGTAACAGAAGACAAATCCCATGCACCGTTTTACGTCTACTTACCCTTTGTATAACTGTCATTATCATTGGCACCTTTTCCCTTAAGGGCTTTTGCATTACAGGAATGAGCACAAATTTGGGAAGGTGTGCTACCTGCACAAAACAAATTATCTGACGTCAAAGGTTAGTTTTGTATAGGCTTAGGGTGGGGAGGTTTGACTAGAAAATGTTGGTGATCTTCATCTCTGCTACTTGCTCAGCTTAATAGAGCAAGCAAATCGGTTCATTTTTCCCCTTGGTATAGCTATCCATATGGGTAGATGAGTGGATGACTTAATTTTCAGAGAGCCACTCTAGACTGCGTACAAAAAATAATAATAGTTATAAAATTGACTGCAACTCTTTTTACGGGGTGTTGTTTTTATGAATCCATCTAAACAGTTTTCGTGTTTGAATCACAGGAAAGGGGTTTTCTTCTTAACCTGAAGGAGAAAGTTGGTAACTTGCCCATTTTCTACCTGTGCAACAAAGTTGATAAGAATACGACAGCCCTGGAGTTTGACAAGGACTCTGACTCAGAAGAAGATAAAGACCCACCTAATGAGGAAGAAAAAGAGGTGCTCGCTTATCGGGCTCTCTCTCAATGCCACATGGTGCCTGGCGACATAGAACCTACACAATGTCCTTTCTTTCACGGTTTGTCCACTAAGGAGGTCAGAAACGCTCGACTGAAGAAGCATTCAAACAAGTATACTAAGCAGTTTGATGACCTCAAGTTTAAGCTGCTGAAATTTGTTGCCGCTGGAGTGACCAGCCATCTACGATCTGCAGCAGAATTGCTCTGTCAGATCCAGAAGAGAGTGTTTGATTTCTTCTTGAATTGTGACTTCAAACAAGAAACGATTCATGCTCAAGATGAGTTATTTAATAAGCTTGAGCTGAAAGAACGCGATTATGTGGTAAAAATGCGTGGCTATGTCCTTCAGAATCTCTATAAGCTTTCCAAGATTGTAAAAGATGGTGTCAAGTGCAACAGACTTAAGATCGTAACTGACGCTGCCCAAATGCAGTTTGATTCAATCAAAATTGGAGATGTTGTCGGGCGAAATGAAGTGGTAGAACAGTGCCGCAGACAGATTAAGGACCTGGTGTTGTTCAAGGCTACGAATATATCGCTGATAAAAATTCAACACACTATCTCCGTTATCACCGACGATCTACGCACATCTCTCGAAGGCTCGCTCAGTGAGGTCGGCAAAAAAGACGACCAATTAGCTACGCTTGTAAGGAGGCAACTGCAGTACAGTTTCCTACAACATTTTGAGACGCAAGACGTTTGTCCTCATTTTGATTATGCTTTGATGAAAAGTGGAGTGAGGCTTATGGACAACGCGAAGAAAGCTGTCATTGATGTGTGGTCTGCCATTAGCGGGAGGGGGACGTACCTTAACGAAAATTGGAAGCGAAGTATCGCCGAAGATGTGCTAGACAACGTCGATTGCGATGCCATCGCACGTAGAATTTGTGATAGGATGCTAGAGGATCTGGAAAACGGGCACGAATTGTTCCAATTGAACCTGGCTCACATGAAACAATTTTGCCAAGCAGCCCTAGAACTGTCTGATGTTCAGAAAAAATTCGCCGCAGCACAATCCCCACATTTTTCCAGACTGATGAGTGAGGCCAGTGCTCTTTCCCAGACGCTCGCTTTCGATGTTCCTTTGAGAGCAGTAGTTGGGGCTCAAATAGGAAGGAACGGCAACCGAGGCAAGGTTTTCGAGGACAAAACCGACAAGGAACGAGTTGTGAAACAGCTCACTGTTGCAGTTCACCCCAGTGAAATGCGAGATGAACATTTGCTAGGCATTACAAGAACCCTAGGAAGGTCAGATTATTAGATGGTTTTTGGTCACAACCTTGGCCCATATTATGAGAAATATTTTTTCTAAATTTTTACCTAATGTGTCTCTCATAAGTAGCCACCATTAATGTATGACTGGTGGTCATTTTATGTAAAAGCAATTTTGCGTTTGACCGCAAGAAGTCGCTCTCGAAATGGGAAAGGAAAGATTCTCAATTTTACCTTGAACTGTTCAAAAGAAAGAACATACTTCCTTTGTCTCCCACGTTTCTTAGAAGCAAAATTGAAATTTTAACTTATATATCGATTGGAATATTACAGAGCATTATGGTGCATTTTATCGAGACACGAGATATATCCTCATTAAAACTGTATCTTTTTGGTTTTTAATGCCCGCAGGATACAAGATGATATTTCCACAATCCTACGACCTATTTCGTTGAGATTGGACGGAAGTAATAGGGTCTCTGTTCTGTTTCCAAAAATGGCCACCAACTTGTTCGAAAGTCTTCAGAGTGATCCAATCCTTTTGCCTCAAGGTCTGAGAATAACGCTGCAAATGGCTGATGCTGTGGAGAACTGCTGGGATAGACGCATTTACCATGTTGATCTCAGGATCACAAACATATTGGTAACTACGCTTCTGAATTACATTACGATATTAAATCCCTTTAACTTCTCTGTTTCACTGACGAGAGTATACTGACCGATTAGGTGTCTCAGGATCTTCTTCTTAAGGCTATGATTAAGTTCTTGGACTTATCGTTCGGCCCAGTATAGAAAAATGAGGACAAATTAATCTTATGACTGATTATTTTTTAATTCAAAGGAATTACAGATCTTTAGGCAAGGTAGCTTGGCTTATCATTGCAGCAGCAAAGGCCAGTGGCCCCCCCTCTCGATGAATGGTGTATATCGCAATCAGGGGACCTTTTTTTTATTCGCTGCCCTTTTTACTCGTATACAGACAATGAATATGAAAGAGTCTCAAGCAAAATGAGAAGTAATGGAATAAGCTCTGCTTTGAGCCACGTTGACTATGTTTTTTTTTCTTTCTCCTCTTTTTTTCTTTTGGAAAACAGCTTGACTTCCACGGGAATGCAAAACTGAACGTTTCTAAGCCAAGGGATGACACGATTCCGTATCCTGACAACCAGGCGTCTTTCCATGTTCCTGCTCAGAATCCCTCTGTAAGCGCATCTGACCTTGTTTCGTTGAACACTCTGCAGGACCATTGTGTCTACAGTCTTGCAGTCTTGCTTTTGCTGCTTGTGGAGGAGAAGTACTGCAGACCACCCTATGCCCAGACGGTAAAAGTGGATGAGGTGTATACTGCCGTAGCCCGAGGAGAAGATTGTGCGTACGTCTGCGGAATAAACGATCCAGAGGGTCGGTCTTCTAGCGAAAGGAAAAAGGCTCGCGAAATTGTCCTTTCTATTTTTAACTTTCAGCGGGAGCATAACGAGCATCTGCTCTCAATGATGGATTCTTTCAAATCGAAAGTCACTGAGGTGGTTTCTAGTTGTGAAATCCCCCAACAATTTGAGACTACACTTTGAAAAAGTCAACTTTTCTTCTTTGTCAAGGGGTTAGGCAATTTTTGGATGGAAAAAAAACCAGAATTTACGGCTGCCTTCGAGGGAGACCTTAAAACTCCAATTCCATTTCCACCTAGAAAGCAATTTATATAAGCCAAATTTGAAAAGAAAAGTTTTTATTACATTGTATAATCCATTAGCATTCGATTCAACTTGTGCTTGTTTCATTTTGCGTTGTTATTTATGTCTTTTTGTCTTGCATTTAAGGCAACCATAGATGATGATGGAGTATTTATACCTTAGATGTACTTTCAGAGCTGTTTTAAGGCACGAAAAATTGGTGCTACTATGTTACCCGAAGAAAACTTATATCAGCATAGGGTGAAGTTAGAAAATGAACTCGGGTTCTCGCGTTTTTTAGTGAAAATCATAGCGCGTTAAAAGCTTGCTAGGATTTTGCAATAACGGATTCTGCAAACACGTGATGTCGTCATGACAGAGTTTGTTCTTCTAGTCGTTTTATTGAACGGTGATTGCGTTTTACGGATTTTAGTTCATCTTGCTTTTGTTGATATGACAAATGTGGTACCAATGAATATACTCAACCTGTACAGTATGACCTGCAAAAGACACCGCCTCTTTTCATCTACTTCGACTACCAAGGTATTTTTATCACAGGCAACTGTTACCAGCTTCTCGAAAAATAACTTTTTGAGAATTACAGGAGTTCGGAGATATGTTAAGCATTAAAACAAATTTATTTCCTTTATACTTCGCAGATAGCTGTAGCTCGGTAGAGAACGAGGTTCGATAAGTTGGTTTTTCGATTATTAACACCTCAACCAAATATTACGAGGAAGTTCATTAGCTTTACTGCTGCTGTGGTAACTGGTTCTATTGAGGAAATGACAACATTTTAACTGTGAGCGTCTTTTTCGTTCCAGAAGATTACAACACTGTTAAAACCATATCACAGTACTGTGTAGTGTTGAAAAAACAAAACAAAAAGACCAAAAAAAAACTAAAACAAAAACAAAACCAACAGAAAAATAGGAAACAAGGGAAACGAAAACATAAACGAAAGAAGAGAAGATCTGTTGATGTAGCTGCTGTATTTTGGTAGTAATTAGATCTAGAATGTAAATGCTTAGTAAAATTAAGCTAAAAATAGTGCTTTTAATCCTATCACCAAGAGGGATATAGTTGCAAAGGTGTCTGCCTTTTTTGTGCGAGAGGGAAAATAATAAATTGTTACTTGTTTCCTGTCAGCATTTGATGTGTGTATACTTGCTATTAATAATTTCTTTGTAAGCTTTCCATGGAATTAATAGTCGTAACTTACATGCGAGCGCTATATTTAGAAAGGGGGTAAGTTTCTAAAGAAACTGTTGTGCTGCGTCGGTGAGGGTATTACGATATAATTTGGTTTAATTAACTAAGTCGATAATGTAACTTGGCCACCGTAAAGAGTTTCTCAGCCCATCATTTTAGAGCTTCCTAGTCGCTCTGATGAAGGGCTAACGCCCGCATCGTCAGCTTAGAAACTCGGCTCTACAGTGGCCAATCTACATTGTCAACTCAGTTTATAAAACCAAATTATCTCGCTATAATTATAGCCTGAAAAGTGTCCTGTAGGTTTTAAGATGAACGAAATGAACTGTTTTCCCGTCGATGACACAACGTATATGACTTTTTCCAGCACCAAGTATGGTCGCCAAGGGAAAGTAGATTTTACTCATCTTCGAGTCTGGCGTTCTGATCCTGCAAATCATTATGATAAGGGTCCAATAATATTACCATGGAATGTACAATATTCATAATAGAGCATTGATTGATTGGAACTATCAAACCATTTTATTGCTTAATCAATTTTGCGCATTGCAATCAAACGACAATGTTTCGATTCAATACATGTAATTTAGCTCGAATACCAGTAACTTTTACCCGGTCAAATATATTAACGTGTCCCTGTACGATTCTCTCGACCCAAAGAAACGTGATCTAAAGCTGAAATTAAACGTTCATTTTTGTCTAGTGCAGGGAAAATTGAGAAAACTTAAACACTTGAAAAGGATAAAGAATTAAAAAACTCGTCTATCAAGCTAGAAATGTTGTAATAAAGGCATCTCGATCACTGAATATGAAACTACATGACAACGTTAGGATACATCGCCACAAAACACAAAGACCAATACTGTTAACTGCCAAGCTAACTAGTAAAAAAACCCTTACTGTATTTTTTTCGATTCAACCCTCTGGTAGAAATATATCCAGCCATTTTCAATAAAATGTTACTTCTATTGAATTCGACCTCCTTTTCCCTGCAACAATTATTTGTCTATATATTTTTTCTCTCTCTCTCCCACCATCATTATTCTACCAAAACATTTCTAACCTATTCTGAACTTATATGAAATCAAAATGTAAAATAACATGTCAACATTACTCGATGGGGGTATGGCTATGTTCAGAAATATCAAACCCATGCCCCCACGGATTTGGTGGCAGCTGCAATTTATAAGGCATGTATTATGCCACATGCTATAGTTCCATCACAACTAGCTCTTTCCTAAGACTTCTAACATCATTTTTCATCATTAATCTATCTGCTGGATGAGTAATTCCTAAACGTTTTAAACATCTTTCATGGTATGCCCTTATTCGATAAAATTCTGGAACAAGGAAAACAATATTTGTTTAACGACGGTCGCTAGGCATCAAAGTGTCTGGGCAAGAATACCTTATCAGGTTCAATTCATAGATGACGTTTTCCATTTCAATGCTTTCTCTGTTTTTCCAGCACATCATCATCAAATTCCAGCATGCATCGTTCACCTGAGGCAGTCTTTTCGGAAGGACTCCATTCTCAACCGCTCCTTGCATTGCCTCAGTAGTTTCCATGTTTTGGTAAACTTCAGGTCTTGTTGTCCCACTTCCCTCAAAGAGCACCCACAGTAACATTCCAAATGCGTAGATGTCGTACGAATGATAACTGAGGTGGCTTTCTCGGTGATAGTGGTACATTTCTGGTGAGATGTGGAACGGTGAACCAAGAGTGGTCATGTTGTAAGGCCTTTTAGGTTTAGCGAGGTTGATCTTGGCTTTTCCATCTTTCATGAGCTAAAGGAAAATAACTGTTGTGAGATTTCCCTTAACAATAGAAGCTTTAGCATTCCGGAATTGGAGCCATGCGTCATAAAGTATACACGTATTCACGTTAATGCAGGGAAATTAATGTTACTTTATGTTGACTAATTAAAGAAGTGAAGTCTGTAAGTGAGCCAAGTGGCTCATCCAGTCGGACACTATGTCGGTTTCCATAGCATGAAGAGACTAGGAGTATTACAGCCCCCCCCCCCCCCCCCCCAAACATTTCATCAGGCTTCCCTGACAATTCGCCAGTACCCTTTTATACTCCTGGGTGAGAAATAATTCATTGCATAAAATTCAAATTATGAGTGACAATGTCAGTAAATTGATAAAGTTCCATGATTTACTCGGGTTAGCTCTTACTGTATTTATACTGTCTCTTGAGGAGAACACTTTTTTCTTGAATATTTTCCAACGATTCGTTATCTTTAATCTAAATTCTTGTTATTTCAGAATCGAAAAATTTCAGATTTTCTCAGAATTCAGGGGTCGCCAGAAACTATAAAATATATTTTGTTGACATATTCTTGAGACTAAACACGATTCTTAAAACTAGAGAGCGACCCATTCGATAGGGTCATCTTTCACATTTTGTGAGAAGCCTGTATGGCGTATAGACTGCTGTGATTATTTGAATTTTTCTTACGTCTCCAGCAAAGACCATAATTTAAAACCAAATCCCAGATTGCACACATAGAGAACCCCTACCAGAATATTTCCAGGTTTCAGATCCTCGTAGACGTAACCAATATCATGAATGGCCTTCAACCCCTCAGCCACGTCCAAGGCTATGTTGATCCTTATAATCAGCGGCAATCCCGGTTGGAGAGCACGCAGCAGATTCTTTTCTGCTTTCTCCATGACGACGTGTACGGTATCAGGATCTGGGAGGATCCATCCATACAAGCGTAACAGGTTTGGGTGGGAGCCATTGAGCCTCAGAATTATGTCCCTAAAATCAAATAACACCAATATTTACTCTAATGATTTTGTCAGGGATATGGTAATTCAGATCGTTAAGTCTTAGAAATACATATCAGATAGTCTACTGTTTGGATTTGTAATAGAGTGAACAGACTGAATTAAGGCCACGAAACTATTAGAGAAGTCGCCCAAACTTTGAGATAAATTGAACAGGGGAATCCTCAAAACGTGTTTTTGTTCTTATCAAGCAGTTTATGATCAAATCGACGCTTCTACCACAGGCATTTGATTGTCGTCCATGCCGCGGGGTGAGGAGTGTGGACCTTACCTGGGTGGGGTGGGGAGCTTTAGCCAGGAGTATTGATAAAATTTTAACTATGGAGGAGTTAAAAGAAAAGAGTCCGCTTTCACATCGAAGAATGATGCTTACAAGCCAAAAAAAAAAAAACAAAAAAAAACAACAACAACAAGAAAAACAGCAGCACCAAAAAAAAAGTGAGTTTGCTAAATTCAGAAACATTCGTTGATCATACAGAGAGTTGTTCAATAAAAATTGTGCTTGAGTAAGCCATTTCAATGCAAACTTGGCCCAGAGAGACGGAAATATAAACGGAATAATCTTCAAAAGCTCAAATGCCCGGGGGGTTGCCCGAAGGGGATGATGAAGTTTAGAATTGACTGACGCATTAATTCACTACAGTTTTTAATGCATTACTTACATCATGTTGACTAAATCCACAGCATTCTGGCTCCAGGCAGCTTCGCTCAAATTTCGCTTTTCAATGACTTTTACCACGCACTGTCCAGTGGGTGTGGCACTACACCAGCTTTCGCTTATGCAGTCATAGATAGCTCCATGTCTTGTTTTGGCCACAAGAGAACCACGCTCAACTGGCCCAAACGTTTGCAAATATTGCAAGGCCATTCCTTCCACAGTCAATTTTCGAATCTTTGGGGTGAATTGGACCCGGAAAGATTCTAGCTGAGCCGACACGAAGCTGTTGGTAAAAGCCTCTTGCAAAGAATTGAAAGAAGAAAGGGCACCCTGAAATTTCTCATGCATTTCTAACAGACGGTCTGCACATACGGTTAGAACTGAATACACGACACCATTGAAGTCAATCATAGCCAACAGCGTCTCACAAATATTCCGCCTGGTTGACCTCTCGGAAATATCTACGTCATGGTAACTCACCAAGTCTCGTGGCGAAAGAACTCGAGAGAGAGGATCCGAGATTCCAGTTCTCAGAGCAACAGAGGAAACGTCGTTCGTGGAGTCAAGAAGCCCATTCATAACAACTTGGAGTAACTGGTCTGTTTCACTTTTGACGGCCAGGAATTGAAAGTCATAGATGTCCTCTAATATGCGTGAGACCATTGGGTCTTGAACGACTGAATGGAAGTCATCGATAGCACGTATAAGATCGTGGACGTAATCCTTCATGAGGCCGTGAACAGCTGTCTCCAGGGTTTGGCATGACATTTCCAAGATGCTGCGTTTCATGTCAGCAACAAATGTTGCTAAAGCAATGTCAAGGCCGGAATCTAGCAGTGTCTCTGAGAAAGCCGGTAGCTCAGTTCTAACCATAGTTTGAAACTTTATCTGCAGACTTTCCCGTTTGTCGGCTTTGTACTCTTCAGCTTCGCGTAAAACATGCGTCCTTAGGACTTCTAAATTTGCCACAAGCGTGCGCTCTGCCTCCTCCGACTTGAATGTGATTGCTGTTGCCAACGTTTGGATCATTTTGTCCAACACCTCGGCAGCTTTTGAATTCAACAAAGGCACAACCGATGCTTTGTGGGTGATGGAATCCCTTCGCACCTTCATGGTACTCGCAAAGCTTTCTTGAAGAAGTACAAGTTTTCTTACGACTCTAACAGTTTGAGTTTTAACAACCTCACAAAGGCGGTTCTTTAGACTGGTTTCAAAAAGACGAAATTTTGTGCTTGCTTCTCCCTCTCGTTTTCTCAGGCGTTCTTCGCGAACTTCTTTGGCTGAAATAGCATGGAACATGGGGCACGTCTCCCACGAATCTCCACGGAGATACTTGTCTTTTAGTTGATCAAAAACGGCCTTTGCCTTTTCGTTTGCTATTCTTGACTCATTTAAATGACGTTTACAACTGCTACCTGTCTCTTCATCGTCATCTTCATCATCATCATCATCATCGTCGTCGTTACCGTT